GTGGAGTGCCGGGGCGCCTGTGTTAACGCGACCCCCGTCTATGGGGCCGGACGGGTTGGGCCCGGTCGACGGTTCCAAACCCATCCCCATCGGTGAAAACCGGGCTCGGGCGGCCTTCACGCAGCATTTGGGTATATTCCACCCATGGCATCCTGAATTGACGACGACCTCAAGGGACTGAGCTAGCCTGTAGGGCCGGGAGTACGTACTTAGCAAGAACTGCAGCTGCAGGACTCATGCAGGAATCCCAAAGCAAATGCAATCACCCGAATTGATGTTTTGCAGCCAGTCAGGACACCCATCAGTGCATCATCAGATTCCATCGCACAATCTTTTGCACCCTCCATTCCGGCGCGGTCCGCCGACGGACCCACCATCGCGTGGACTCATCCATTCGTCCTTAGTCTTAGCAGTGTGTTTCCCATGTTGCATAATGCCTTTCTTCAGGAGAGTTGAGCGAAATGCTTGGGTTCCGCCATGAATACAGAAGTGATCCTGGATTCCAATCCTGTTCAAGCTGCTCAAGCTGCCTTTGAACAAATGATCGCTACCTAGTAGATTTGGAAAAAGCCCATGAATGACCATTCACTGCGGTCGGCTCATTCCGCATTGGCTCCAGGGCGCGGGATGCGAAAAGCTGAACAAGTCATCCAACACGAAGAACCGGTATCCACCGGTCAAAGCGAGACCCGTGGGCGGTCTCGATTAGATCATCTGAAGTCCTGTTTGACCCTCTGAGAATGATTGAGCATCAAAGACTTGAGTATCATATGCAAAATCTAGAGGACCTAGTGAGCTGGTGAAGCTCTTTTTCGTGATCAAGGCCCTCAGGTGTTTTTCTCAGCACATCTGTGGTTCTGTTCTCCATGCAGACCGTTAAACCATTGGTAGTGAGTGTCCCTAGTTCCCTCCGCCATGGAATCACATTTTCATGATCCAAGGAGTACGACCCTTTTTGGACAGATCACCAAGGAGTACGACCCCCAACATCCCCCAACAAATGGTGAATCATCTGAACATCTCAGGCTTTCGACTTCGAGATACTTCGAGTCTTCGAGCATTTTTTCAGAAAACCATGTGCTTCGATGGTCATCCTTCCTTTGAACATGAGGCCGTTGTCTCCTGGGTCTCATTCCATGGGACGGGGTGGGCTGGGATGGACGATTCGACGGCTGGAGAGTGGAAGGCGGTCCTTTCCGTTAAACTCTTTGAAAGCTCAGACAACTGTTGGTTGATTCACGTTTCCGTTAAACCAGAGAGCTTTGATGTTCAGACATGTTCAGACGTCTTCTTGCTCTTTCGGCTCGTGATTCGGCTCATGCGGCTTCGGGAAGCGAATCACGTGGCCTTCGACGTGTGACGAAGTGGTGCCAAGTAGGTACACTTCGACTCTCTGGAAGTGGAAACCTACTCCCTAACATGGAAGTGGAAAGGACCCTGTTTGTAGAGGACAGAGTCTTCCAGGGTAGAAACGGGGCTCTTGTTGAAACATGTCGAATCGACGTCGAATCGGCCTGTTTTTTGTGGTCGATTCCGGATTCTTTTTTGGGGGATTGTAATATACACTCTCTGGAAATCACCGGTGGAATGTATGGTGGATGGGATGGGATGGGAAAATGTCTCCGATGTCGTTTGATCATGAAATCCTCTAACCGCGGTGGTGCTTTTCCACTTCCAGGCGATTCCAGGGAGTTTGTTCATTGTGCAACTGATTACGAACAATCATATGTTGCTCCCGTGGGTTATAGATCCAGTGGCTCACAAGATCACAACCCCGCGGATGCCACGTGTCGCCAAAGTCTTTTTGAGGGGATCCATGAAGAGAACTTGCTGGGAGTGTCAGAATGCCTGTCAATCCCAATTCAGCAACCCTGAGGCTGCTTTCCGAGCACCTGGAACAAAGCACTCGACTTCTTCAAAGCACCTGGAACCCGACTTCAAGTACCTTGGAACATGGGCTCTGACCCCATACAGGCCCTAGGGATCCAAGTACCTTCTCAGAAGGTGTTTGGGGTGGGTTTGGAGGGTCCAAGTGCCTTCTGAGAAGGTACCCATGTTCTACCCATGTTCCGCGCGGTCCGCGCACTGAGGGGCAGATCCGCACATGCCAGTCCGCACCGTTCCGCCCCAGCCATTGGCTCAGCTTGAACCCCTCCGCGCGTCGCGGGACGGACCGTCTGGCGCCGTCGGGTGCAGATGGAGGTCGTGGCGGGGGGAACCGACCGGGACCGCGTGGGGTGGGTGGGAGCGCGGACTCCTCTGAGGGGGTCGGACCCGGTGTGGGTGGTGAGATCTGAGCGTTTGCAACCAATTCATCGAGCGATGTGCCACGCGAGTTTGGTGCTTCGGTCCTTTCACCGGCGTTAGATGGGGTTGGTTGGTTCTTCCACCAAACATGGGCTGATTGATTTGCACTTGGAACCCAAAGACCCGTGTCCAGCTGACTCATTTGAATGACTTGCTGGATTTTTGTCCCACCAGGCGATCTGCGATCGGTCTGAAGACCGGTGGGTGACCTCAGTGGGAACTAGCCTTTCAGTGGCGGTCGTGATGCGTCATGATGATGGAGGGGTTTCATCCAAACCATCCCCCTGCTATACTGCCCCTGCCACGCATGTGGCACTCGTGTGGCAGGAACAAGGCCCTAGAGTAGGAGGGGGAAGGTCGTCTGGTCGGGGTGGTTGCCATAAATGTGACCTCAGGACTTCCCTATGCGCTTGATCATGGCTGGCTTAGTGAGTTGAGGAATCGGGAGATCAGATACAGAATGATACAGATACAAGTCTCGGAAAATGGGTACAAGTACCTGTTTAAGACCATGTCCCATGTTCAAAGATGTTCAAAGGTACTTCAGGTCGGCGTTACCAAGCCTCACATTGATCTACGAGGAGTGACCTCGGTGTTGTGATTTCTCTTCGCACATGCACGAATGAAAGACGCAGGATTCATGAACATCAGATGGGCATTCCTGGTGAATTCGTGTGCTGAACAGACTGATGCTTCGCTACGTCCCATCGTCCTACTATGAGTTCTCACAAGTTCCCAATTCATTCCAGCTGTCCACTGATGGTGTTGTCCTATACGAAAGGCTCGGAACCCCATAAATCCATACAAATCCAATCAAATCCATACATATCTCCGCCGATATATCATATTTTTTAAAATTTCATCTATTATAAGTGATATCACCACACACATCCAAATTCAGAACATCCGGTAGCTTTGCATCTTGACACATCTGAAGCATACCGTGTTTCAGCTAAGCATGCAATGCCAGCTGTCTGCACGTGGACCCGCGCGGCCGAAGAGCCAGCTGCGCCTTTTTCAGCTTGGTAGTGCCCCATCACCTCGCCTTTTTCGACCCATGGCTCCCCCCTGCTGCTTTGAAGGGGTTTTTAAGAGCTGCTTCCCACAGAAGGCCTGGATGACTGCGCGCTCTGCGTTGCACAAAGTTTTGTTGTTCCCTTTCTTTTGTCGGGAGTGGTTGGGGTTCTCCTTGTGGTTCTCTGCGTGCTAACTTGCTGCGGAGAGGGCCTGCAGGCGCCAGAGCCATTTCGGTTCAACACCACTGACCACCGCTTGACGTGACACAGAGGGGACTGGTTTCTTGCTCAGTTGGCAGGTTGGGAAGACGACCATTCCGAGTGGTTGATCATGGAGTACCCACCACCCCCAAAGATTCCGTGGTTGACAGGAATCAGTTTTGAAGATGATTGTGTCATACAGGTCAGCAAGCTTGGAAGGATTGGAGCATTCATTGATCTCAAGAACAGAAAACCTTGGTATCTCAGAGTCCCGATTCCCATCTTTGCCAAGATGAACACCCGGGCCAGGCTAACCCAGAAAAGTTGGAGCCCAATGCGGTGCAGAAGTGGCTCGGAGCACCAGGCTTCATTTGGAGGGATTCTTTGCAACATGTGAATTGGACAACATCTATGGTGGCGGCCGGCCGAACTGCTGGTTCCTAGCTTGAGCCTCTGTAAAAAGGGGCTTGAACAGGGGGGGGGCGACCAGGAGCATCCCTTTTGCCATAGATTTGGTCGATTACTCATATGGCCACTTCCTCAAAAATTAGGATGCTGTTGTGATGAGTGGAGGGTCCAGCAAGAGGCAAGCGGTGGCGGCAGATGTAGGCACCTTAGACCCTCAGTCAGAAGATTCGTGTCTCACAACTGCCGGAGGCATTGGAGTTTCCCTTATGGATTTCATCAGAGGTGGCCACTCTCTAGTTCCGTTGCATTTCAAACCCAGGATCCGTAGAAAAGCAGCAGATGCGGTGGATGTATTTTTTGTATCGATCTGATCGTGGATCTTGCGGTAACCAGGTGAAAGAGGGTGATTGACATGACCTGGATCGCACTCAGGCTGGCCGGATATTTGGGGCTCTACAAGTTCTCTGCCTCTCGCCAAGGGTTGAAGCTCAGTGGTTCGCCCGTGCGCCCGAAGTTTTGGGCGGTTCCTGCCTTGGTAGGTGTTGCTTGTTCCTGCCTTTGGCAGGCACTGATTCATGCCATAAGCTCACTGATATGGGTTGATTCTGGATTCGCCGCGAGTTGGAGGAATCCAAGCCACACCACATTTCAATTAAGAAAACTCAGATTAGAACGGTAAAAAGACTCTGGGAATGTGTGTCATTTTGTGTCTATTGATTCCATGTCAGTTCTCAGTTGACATTTGCACCTTTTGCTGAAGAAGCAGGCAGCTGGTCGACTATGAATCGACTCCTTTTCCCAACGGAAAACACGAAAACAACGAGTTCCCCCTTGGTTCCAGCTTAGGCTCCAATTGGGGGGGTGCTTCGAAACCACAAGGCCTACGTCATCATGGACGCCTCTTGGATCTCCAAACTCTGTGATACCATGGTCCGCACGCCGGCGGCCTATGGCATGGCCTACGAGGACGACCCAAACGACGGGCGACGTCGACGCAGGGCCGGCTGGACGCACGAAACCGGATCCTCTGGTCGGGCCCAGCTGGGGTGGTATCAGCATGGGTTGATAAAAACACTAAGGGCCCAGCTGGGGTGGTACTTCTTCAAGTTTCCGAAAAGGAACCAGGACATGCCATGGCACCCCGCCATCGCACTCCATGGCACCATGAGCCCCTAAACGATGGGAGTCCCCACGTTTTGGTCCGCGCCCGCCAGGACGTGCGGATCGAGGCGCTCGACGGCTGCACCCTGGCGGCGTGGCATATCCCCGCCCAGGACGATGCCGTTTGATCTCTCCTCCGCCTAAAGGGGTTGGAGAGGGTTTGTGGAGTCTGAAAAAGAACTCATGATGGGGTTTGTTGACAGTTGCTATAGGATCTATAATTCCAGCCTTTATGCATATCTTTTGCTTGTGAGAATGACACGGTTTTTTGGCTCTTTTGGGAAGCTGTTCAAATATCTGTTATTTTTTTTTCTAAGGCAAGGGGACGCCCTAAAGACCCGTTACGGAACCTGGGCAGGAGACAGTTTCTGCCTTCTGTTTGGAAGACATCCCAGACCATGTAGAACATGTTGGAGAGCATGCCATGATATGCCAGAAATCAGAGGGTGCAGGTTCATATACCTTCCACGCTGTGGGCTGTCGAATTGACCAGAAAACCTGGTTAAAGGTAGTTGAGAGGACAACAGCAAGCAGGGTCGAGATTTAGGTAAGATCTGGTAAGCTAGTCATAGCATGTCATAGCTACAGGTCCAGATTTGTGTGATTTAACTGATCTTCTTTCCACCCAAATCACCAACAAGTGCCTCGAAATCGAAGTTGTTGCACGTCCCACCGTACGAAGCCACGAACGACACCGCCCGCACCGCGCGGCCACGACACTGCCGTGAACGACACTCCGACGGTGAAACGGTTGGTGGACGAGTAGGCGAGGAGGAGGGGAAGCCTGCTTTGCTCTTCATACCTGGAGTCTCAAAGTACCTCGGAAAATGGGTACAAGATGGTACAAGTACCTGTTTTTATGGGGTAAGGTACTTGAAGTCGGGTCCAGGTAGTCCCTCAAATGAAACTCTCCCCAAGGTCCGGTAGACAAGATGGTGATCGACATCAAAGGTTCGAAACATTTCGAAACCGTCGGACATGAATCGAAAGACCGGATCAGTTCCGGCGCTGGGCTCATGAATTCCAGCGCCCTGGGCTTTGCCTTTAGAGTTGCAAACGCATGCCATTTGTCCAATGTTGTAGATCTGGTAGCTCAGCAGATCTGCTTAATTACTTGTGTTTATGTTCAACAAAGGTTAGGAGGGCAGGCATTGCACCCACACCCACAAAAAAACAACACAGACTGGACAAGAAACGTGCTGGCACGCACCCACGCACCCATGCACGCACTCACCACTAGAATCGCGCTCAAGGCAAGTGATACGCTCACGAGCAAGAAACCAGCTTCGGAGCAGACATGCTCTCATGAATAAGAGGGCACTCAAGGAAAACAACACGAACAACACAGTCAAGAGAAGAAACTAGCTCATAGAGGCACAACGCGTTTGGACGATGCAGCAAAAACTAATCATGCCATTATTGGCAGAGAATGGGGGAATGAACTGTTTGAAACAAGAACACAAGAAAATAATTGTCTTCAGCTTCTTAACACTGTTCCAAGGAGAGAACCAATATGAGAAGGGGACTTTGATGTGTAGAAGACTTTGGCGCAGGAGATGTAGCGGCCGCGAATGCGTGTGCGTACAAAAGAGAAACGCCCTCACGATCACTCGTGGTGAGAAACGGTGTATATACGAAGGGAAAATATGCACTCACAAAAATTCACAATCATAACGAGACTGTATACCATTTTCTAGTAGATGCGCTTCTTTGGGAAGATACACTTGTTGTCTTATTGTTGACAAAGTGTCATGAATTCAAAAAAAACACAACATATCAATGCATGCCGCCATCTTCAGTATAAGGTTTTCAGGATGGTGAAGGGCTCCTCATGGTGAGGCGATGGCACCTCGCTGAAGCAAACAGATCCTTGGTACGTTTGGATCGATGTGAAGATGGCAGGACAAAAGCTCGAAGAAGCTGGCGATTGTGGGCCATCAGACACTTGGCACAGTTGGTGTGGAGAACCTAAGAGTTTCTTTTGGGGGTCCTCGGATTGATACTCTAGCCTGGAACTAGCAACTAGACATGGCTCCATGGAAGATCCCTTTCCGCTACACACAGAGTTTTCCACTTCCATGTGAGTTCCAGGGAGAATATAAATCCGATCCATTTTGACAGCGCTGATTTGTTCCAGCTTTGATGAACAAAGAGTGCAAGATGGTGGAGGACCCAGGCGGGCATGTCTCTTTTTTGGATGTAGATGGTGCAGCCTTTGTTTTCTGGTTTGTGCAGGGACTTGGGTACGTTTGGGTGTTGCGTCAGTGCGCCCTTAGTGCGCAGGGATTCCTCATGCAAAGACTGGGCATGTGGAGAAGCTTTGGAATTTCACAGTATCCCACCAACCAGTCGCCATCAGTCGCCCAAGACATCCCAAAACCCTTCCTCAGCATACCAGGCAGGCGATATTTTTTGGGACGGACGAGTTGGTCTATATATTGGGGGTCAAATACGTCGCTGCTTCGCAGTTCGCGGTTCACGAGCTATCGCTGGGATCCACCGTTTGGTCGGGGTGTCGGTCGCCATGACTTTCACCGGTCGTTCACCCACCCTATATAGGGCTCGAGCCAGTGGTAGCTTCGGTTCGGTGGGACTGGAGGCCCGGGTGCCAGGGTCATACCGAACCGAAGCTACAACTGGAGCCCCAAACGAGCCAAGATTTCTCGTTGAGTCCTTCAGGTCCTGGGCTTGTGCCAACAAATCCGGCTGCGAGACGCACCAGAGGCGAAACGCGGGAGGGCCATCGAACGTCGTCCGTGCTGCCGAAGTCTGTGCGGGATTCTGCCTGGACACGTCCGGGAGCACCTGTTACTACTAGCGTGGCACTTGTTACTACTAGCGTCCTTGCTCCTAGTAGTAAGGCCAGGAGCCCTAGTAGCTTCTTGTTACTACTAGTAAGGCACCTGTTACTACTAGCGGGCTTCAAGGATTCTCAATCCAGTTCGTGGCGTTGCTTCTCCAAACCAGTTTTGAAGACCTGTCGTAACATCAAGGAACCATTCATAACCATTCCCTCCCAAAAACGAGTTTGGGGAACCACACCTATTGATGTTCCATGTTCCAAGCATCAAAGCTTCATGTTTTGGTTCACACTCCTTTCGACGCGCTTGACCTCTTCCGGCTCTTGGAACATGGCCAGGTGGTCCGTAGGTCGATCGACGACACCGAGAGATCGATTCGCTAGTAGGGGTGACAGGTCGAGAGAGCGATGGTCATCGCCATGTCGTGCTTCCCTTTGAAAGGACCACTTCACATGGACAGCAACCCACGTCTCAGGATGCTCAAGATGTGGAGGATGGAAGAGAGATCAACCAAAGCTTGCGATCCACTGATCAACTGCTTGCATCGCAGACTTGGGGAACGACAACCAGTTCGACTGAGGGATTTGTATCCTCTCAAGTGCTTGTCCTGGGGTCTCACTTCCATGAAGCTTTGCTTGGCTCAAGGTAGCTGAGGGAATCCATCCCCTTCATATCCTCCTTCTAGGGAAGAATGTCTGTTTTCTATTCTTCGCATTCCAGAAAAGCAACAATTGCCCTGCACTTCTTCGAGTTGCCCCTCGTCCAGTTCACTTCGGTCTGGTTTATGAGGCATGGCTGGGTCACCGTAGAGGCCATCGACTACGTGAAGCTTCAGAAGGTGAGTTGGAACCGCAGGGAGTGGCTGGCGTTGGGTTTGGGGGCGGACCTTGTGGCCTCTGCTGCTTCGCGAACCAGCGGCGATGTACAAAACTTCGGAATCGCCCGTTTTCCGGGCGCCAGGCCTCACTTTAATGACCCCACCCACTCACTACCTTGGCGGAAGGAGCTCTGGTTTCGCAGCAGGTGCTGCATGATGCTGGCTTCCACGTCCTCGCATACGACCTGCGCAACCACGGAGAGTCCGAGAAGAAGCTCCCCAGCGGCTTTGGAGAAATTGACCCTTTGGCACTGCAGGGGAGGTGCCTCAAGGCGGAGGGACCTGGGGATTCTCGATGGCCCTGGCTTTGAGAAGAATTCCTGTTCTCCAAGCCAGAACGAATACCGCGGATTGAGAACTCTGGGATTGGTATGGCTGTTGCATGCTGTTGCTGTTCTCCAGAGTTTCACTTCGACCTCAAAGCACATGCCTTCCAACCAGACCCGGACCGTTCGCCCGGGAACCAGTAGAGTGAAACGGGCGACCCGGTCGCCGGTGTTTTTGAAGCGAAAAGAACCACAAAGCCCTGAACCCTAAACCAACAACCATCCAACAACCATTATTGCTGATGTTACACGACCAAAGCCAGGTCACAAGAACGAACACTATGTATAAAATGGTCTAGGTGGAAGGCTAGGGAACAGACTCACCGCTGAAAGGACTCCCCATCCAGGAGTGAGTCAAGGCCATCGGTGTCCATCGACTAGCAGCTAGCAACAAGACTTTGCCAGGTGAATTCCCCGAACAATGGTTCCGACTTTGGACAACTTGGGTGCCGTTTTTAGTCTTATCCCAGACCGTACGTGGGGCTAGTTGAATAGTGACACACATTTACAGTACACCATTTATGACCCTAATGTAGGGTATAACTATTCCGTACATGTATGGTCTGGATATGATTTGGAGGGAAGGTTTGCTCATGTTTGCTTTTTTTGTTTTGTGCAAGAATGGAGGAGACGATTCATGGAGAAACCGCTGGAAACTAGACCTTGTTCTTTGCAGACGAAAGGCTTTCAGGTTCCAACCTCAGCTAGAATGTGCAATTCCCCATTCCCCTATACTCATGGGTTGCGGCGAAGTGCCAGCACAGTGCAACCCCAACCAATCAACAAACTTCTACAAAAAGAGTACTGCACAACAGACAGGTCAGCGCACTGGTCCTCCCCAGGTATAGCTTTGCCTATATGGCCATGGCTGTGGGTCATAGCCAGGAGCCCGTTTCACTCTGGTAGGTGGACCTCCTTAAGTAGTCTATTTTGTTCATTTTGCATGGTCAACCAGGGTCCCACCGTATGTAGTCGTTGAAAGCGATGGTGCCTAAGTGGCCGTAGCGGGCTCATGGCCTCGAGGAATATATGGATGCTGTTGGTGTGATGAACTACGTGAACAGCCACCCAGTGCTGAAGACCTGCAAGGCACGGGAGCTGCAAAACACGAGAGAACTGTTGGCTTGATGTTGGTCTATGAAGAGCTCCTTGAATTTGTTAAAGAACCTCTCTCTGGAGCATTCAAAGCAGGCGAATAAAAGATCATGACCCTGAACTCCCACTCATCAAGCGATCGGTAGAACCAATCCACTGAACATCTCCCGTGTTTCTATTCTTGGCGAACCATGTGCTTGAGAAAGATAGGATCATTCCAGGTTTGCTTGTTGCCCTTCTGCGTCTCGGGAGTGGCGTTCATGAAGGCCAACACCCTTCACCCTGCCGCTTTCTCAGCAGAGCGCTTGGTGGTTGTGAGGGTTTGGGCTGGCAGGACGAGGGCCCTTTGGGCCTGTTCGGCCCACCTTCCCGCAGGTCCAGATGTGCATGGCAGGTCCAGAATCACTCACGGCCGATTCAGGAGTTTATAACTATAGGCGGTACATGTATTTTCCGCTTCCATGATTACTTTAGGAAGTGCCTGGAAGCCCACTTGTTCTTTAAAGGACTGCGTATTGTTTAGGGTTTCCCGTCTTTTTTTGCAAGAGTTCGGTCTTCTTGAAGGTTTTTTTCCCATGTCCCTTTCCCCACCAACGTCGACCAGGGCTCGGCTCGGCCCCTCCCAGCGTTCGGACGTGGTGGCTCGGAAGCCGAGGAGAAGTTCAAGAACGTGGTGGCTTGGGCAACCACGAACATCTTCCATGGCCCCACGATCATGTCCAACCGGCCGTATATGCTCCTTAGTCAGCAGGTGGTCCGTATGTGCTGCCAATTTGCGAATCAAAGGAAGATAATGCCTATAGCCTATAGCCATGCATCTATATAGCCTATAGGATTCCAACCACCATTGATTTAATGGGTGTTTACCAAACAACATCGTTAGACTACGACACCAGGTCAACCTTTTTTTTGACGGTCTTGGAAGGCTAGGGTATAGTGTCTCCAAATACAGCGGAAAATGGCCGGGAATCCTACAATTCAAGCAATCTCGAGCGGATGGGAAATTCTCTCACTTGCTTTGGTCCAGAAGGGTTTGCGGAAACCAGAATTATTTTCATTTCAAGCTTCGAATTCAACCATCCTGTTCTCCACCATGTTTCAACTCCAGTGGAAGCCGCTGAGAGACTTCACGCACGGGCCACTGTTGCTCCTGTCGTGAACCGAGGTTCGGCCTGGGCAACGTGAAGCTGCTGAACAAAGCTTTTGCCGAGAAGCAGGCCTCCTACGAGACCCTCGACTGACTTGTTTTTCCCAGAGATTCCATGGGACTGCCGATCAGTTGACCCTCCAAACCACCCCAACTGATCGGCAAATATTGTATATAGAGCCTGAGTGATCTGTTTTTTTTGGAAAAGACCATATGTTGGATAGTTGATCCTCCAAAATAGAGGTCACTCAGGCTCTAGGTATATATATATATATATTTAATTGATTTTTTGGGGGTTTCTTGTTTTCCTTTTTGCGGCGGTGTCTTTCCAAGACGGCACTTGTTCCCCACCTGCCAGAGGGTTGTTAGATTTTCATCGGAGCTCTTCTCCTCCTCTTCTCCTCTTCTCCTCTTCTTCTCCTCTCCTCTTCTTCTCTGCTTCTCCTCTTCTCTCCTCGTCGCTTTTACTGCCGCACCTCAACCACCAGGTCCAGATTCCAGATCGCAATGGGCTATACCTCAACAGCAAGCGCCAGATCACAGTGGGCGCTGCCCGACCTCAACTGCAAGTGCCGGATCGCAGTGGGCACTACCGGACTTCAACAGCAAGCGCCAGATGGCAGTAATACTTGCCAAAAAAGAATGGCAGAATACATGGTAAGTATGTATGCCAGATAGAATGTCAGAATGTAAGATAGAACGCCAGACCATGTGCCAAGTAGAGTGCCAGAGTATATGCCAGATAGAGTGCCGGCAATGATGCCAGATAACATGCAAGCAGTTATGGCCTTATGGCAGATCAATGCCAGCAACTTTGCCAGATAGAACTCAGAGTATATGCCAGATAGAATGTCTGATTTTATGCCAGATAGAATGCCAGGTTATCTTTGATGGCAGAACAAATGCCGGAGTACATGTCAGAACACATACCAGGACTGAAGTCGGTCCACATGTCACAGCACATGTCAGACAGGAAACATGTCAGAACACACCAACAAAGATGTCAGAACACAGTCAAGAACGTTTCGCAGCCTCTATGATAGATGATGTGACAGAGGATGCCAGAGCAAGCGTCAGAACATCATGTCAAGCCGCACAAGTCGCCTTTCAGGGTGGGGATCACTCGAAGTATCTCGAAGTAAAGTGTTCTTTTTGTCCGCTTTGGGGGGAACGGTTGGGAAACCGACGTCTGATGAATCAGATGTATGACCTGACGGCTGAGTGGTCCGAAACCAATGGAAATGGACCCCTCGGCACAGGGGATCAGTCAAAATAGTCAAGCCCTCCTTTTCATGTAGCCAGCGAGACATGTCACAGTTAACCACACTGTCGGTTCAGCTGCCGCACCTCTTCCTTTTGTATGCAGCTGTTTTTAAGGTGCTGATGCATCGACCTTTTCATGGTGCTGCTTTTTGGGGGTGTACGTTGTGGTAGTCCAGTCGGGGGAAGGGCAGACAAATGCGGAATTGGGTCGTGGATTTGGCAGACACATCACGACGAACCGGTATTGCAACTTTGCAGATGCAATTGGCATGCATTGGCTTTGTGTTATCGAGGCTGCATGTACCAAACTACAATGTATAGCGGCTAATGAGAGAGGTCGCTCGAGCATCAATGTGACTCCGGGTCCCTGGGTGTCCCTTTCCGTTATGCATTTCGGCCCATCACCCCTCACTTTGACACCGAAACGCTGAGGAAGTCGGGCCAATTGAAGAGCCAGGAGACGGTCGCGGCGTTAAACGCTGAGACTTTGCGGCGCCGAAGACTTCTCTTCTAATTCTGAATCCTCATAGCTGGGACTGATTTGCAGGACATCAAGATCACAGCCCAGCGGATTTCTGCGAAGCCTTATGCACCTGACGTCAAGGCAGTGCTGTTCATGTGATTTCTTTGCTTTTGCGCAGAAAACTCTTTGCCAACCGAAATGCTGTGCATACCTGTGCCTGCAACTACGGTAACTAACCCCTGTCCTTGGGAAACAGGAGGTCACTACCTGCCCCATCCGCCCAGAAGGTCCCGATCCTCTACTGCGACGTCATGCATGATGTGTTGGACTACCACGAGTGTTTCAACCGCAGGGAGAGTCGCATGGGCGAAACGCCAGGGAGAGCCGCATCGATCGAGGGCGACACGTCCACTGGATGAGCACAACTTAAGGATTTTTTGTCGCAAGGTTCAGAAGCGAAACGACTTTCATTGTTACGTGTGCACT